AAATCAGGTTGCCTCATTGTTCTCTAATGGATCATCAGGATGTACAACGTGAGGCATGTCTAACTCTTTCTAGAGAGGAGGAGACAGCAGTCAACCGTGCATTCTCCGCTAATGACTCGTATGATTTTGATTCTTGCTCTCTTGTTTACTTTCTATCTTGTTTACTTGCTCTGAGGATTCATATTTGTTTTTGGGATGTAATTTTATGAACGTCTCTCGCTGTAGGAACATCTTGGTTACACATAAGAATTCAAATATTGAAATTACAGGGAAAATCCTAAGGTGCCTTAAACCAGGTGAATGGTTGAACGATGAGGTTAGTCGACGTATCTAAATCTTACATGATTTCTTCTTAAAGATTGGATAGAAATTTTTTGTCCGATTAGAACCTCTATGATTTGGTAAAACCTTGGGCTCTGTTCTATGTAGGTCATTAATCTTTATCTGGTATTGCTGAAAGAAAGGGAAGCTAGAGAACCAAAGAAGTTTCTTAAATGTCATTTTTCAATACATTTTTCTTCACTAAGGTTATACCCATTTCTATGGCTAATGAATTTTAGATTATAGCCCCTATATATTTGCTCACGAATTTTAACAAGAAGACATTACCGTTAGTTAATTCGGGGACTGGATACAACTACAGCGCAGTCAGAAGATGGACATCAATGAAGAGGTTGGGCTACCATCTCAAAGACTGTGACAAGGTAAACTTGTTCTGTGCTTCTTCTACTATCATTCTCTATGTTACACTCCATTATGAGATATTCAAACACGTTTTTCGTTTTACCATCTGTCTAAGACGCTTTGTTTGTTCCCAAATATTTGTCCCTATCCATATGAACATCCAATGGACTTTGGCTGTGATTAATATAAAGGACCGGAAATTCCAGTATCTCGACTCATTCAAAGGAAGGGAGCCTAAAATCCTCGATGCACTGGTAGTATTTGAGTAAGTAAAACCATTTTTACAGTCATAACATATATATCCTGATTCTGTAGTTTTTCATTTATCAGGCTAGATACTTTGTCGATGAAGTGAGGGACAAGAGTGAATTAGACCTGATGTAAGTCGATGGAGACAAGAATTTGTCCAGGACCTTCCGATGCAGAGAATTGGGTACCGTCTTCCTAATAAAGATATCAGCTACTACTAGTTCATACAGTCGTAATAACTCTGTCTCTGCATTTTGTAGATTCGATTGTGGAATGTTTATGGTAAAATACATCGACTTCTACAGCAGAGGTCTGGATCTTTGTTTTGCTCAGGTAAAATCGCCGAAAGTTACTAAACCTGCCATTGTCTTTAGTAAGTAGGTCAGTGTCATTTTGAAAGACGTAAGAGTGCTTAAAATAGAAACTGTTTGTGTGATCTCCACAGGAACAAATGCCATATTTCCGGGATAGGACAGCGAAGGAGATGCAACTGAAAGCCGAGTGATGTCAGCATAATAAGGAAACTCTTAAAGAATAGTTTTGAAAGGTCTTCTTCTTCTTCATGTAGATAGCGTTGAGAAAGTTAGATGCACACTTGCGTGTTTGATAATTTGATGTACATGGCAAAGTGTAACAATGTGGTTCTCTGATGATGAGGCTTGATAGTGAAACTCGAATTATTGTTTAAAGATTCTATTTACACTATCAGATACTCTGATTTTGGATTTTGATATTATATTTGTACTTTTTAGATTATTTTAATTAAAAAGAAAGAAATTTGCCTTGAGAGATTTTTTTCCCGAAACTAGTATTCGATAGGAGGGATTATTTGCAAGTGAGATATCCTTTACAAGAAGTAAACTAAACATGTCACGAAATCTATATGGGGAGAAATTCTAAACTTGTTAAGAAGAATGTATATCAGTTATGTTGGATTCCAACAGAGATAACATATGCTTAAAACCAAATTATTTGTATGAAAATGTCTTAGATTTTCTTTGAAAAGGGTTTTTATATAAAATGTTTAAAGAATTGAAAAGTAAAGGGTATAGGCGAAAAAGGGGTTATTTGTATGAAAATGATTTTTAATCATTCTCACATATTTCTACGATGTTAAGAGATTAAAATGATCTAAAATTTACAGTAGCAAAATAAACAAAAAGAAAATCTGAAATGACAGCTGCCTAAGTTTTACAACTACGGCAATAGGGTAATGGGTTTACACGTTTAGTAATTCTTACGTGTAAGATTGATATCTCTAGTTTAAAACTTACTAATTACAATAAGGTGGTAATTCATAATTAAGCTAACTCTTAGCTCCATGAAAAGCATCATCATGCGTCAGCTTCTTCAGTCACTCTTTTTCTCACTTTTGCAAAAACCCTTGGGTCCGTTTCTCCTATCCAAACTCTCGACCGCCGCTGGAAAACACTTCCGGCGACCTAAAACGCCCGACGAACCTTTCTCCGGGCATCTACAGCCTACAGGTCTTCGTTTGCTCTGCATTGTACGGATTCTCTCCCGACCGACGACTCAACTTCCGGTAAAGCTCTTGGTCTTCAAATCTCCGTTCCTTTTTGTTTGTTAAGAAACGATGATCATAAAAAACTGGTATCTTCGTTCAAATCTTTGTTACTTCGTTCGTGGGCATCTCAGCTTCTTTTTGTTTTAAATCATACATATTTGAGGAAAAACTGGAACTTTTTAAGAAAGGGTGTGTTGAAATTTTGTTTGGAACAAGAAAAGGTGCTACTTTTTTGTTTGTCTTAGATCTTTTTCACTTTTTTTTGGGAGAAAGTTTTTCATCAAAGTGATTTTAGGTTAGTTGATGAAATTGTTGCCTTTTGTCTTCTTTTTTTCTGGTTATTTTTACCGACTTTCTGTAAAGCTTTTGGATGATTCATTGAACCTTATACTGTCCTAGTTATGCATTACTTTGATCATGTGCTTGAAATGTATGTTGCCAGAATTTCTGATCACATTTATACAGATTTTATATCACCATGTTTAATACAGATTTTCGCTAGTATTTTCGAATCCACCACTTTCTTGACATTGTTGCTTTTGTTTTGTGCTTATGATCACTCGGGGTTGATAGATGATGAAGCTTGCATCACTGGTGAGAAACATTTGCTCTCGCCAAGTTCATCATTACCAGCCTTCTCCTATTGTTCACTCTTTTCACTCAAAGAGTGAAAAAACACGCTTCATGGCTTCCACGATATATTCAGTGGTGAAGATCTTTAGCATAAACCGCACGGCTGATCCTTCACATCCGTGGACTGCTCCAACCAGCAATCCTTGTTCCGGTTCTGGTAATAAAAACTCTTAACCATGTTTTTCTCCAATGATTGTTTTATATGTCTATTGCTTACCGATTTATGATTGATGATTTGCAATTGATAGGATTTGTTATCTCGGGTCGGAGGATCATAACAAATGCGCATGTCGTAACCGGTGCCACATTTATCCAAGCTACAAAACTGAGTTCCGGAACTAAATATAAGGCTACAGTTTTGGCTTTTGGCCATGAGTGTGATCTAGCCATATTGCTCATCAACAATAATGAGTTTTGGAAAGATTTGGAACCTTTAAATCTTCGTGGAGAAATGCCCAATCTTCTAGAACCGGTTCGAATTGTTGGATATCCACAAGGTGGGGATAGCATCTCAATCACAGGTGGCATACTTTCAAGGATCAACACATATGTTTATTCCCACAGTCGAGGCGAACTCGAACTCCCGGTGCTTCAAGTTGATGCAGCTATTAATTCAGGAAATAGTGGAGGTCCCGTTTTCATCGAAAATGAAGTGATTGGGGTGGCTTTCGAGAGGCTTCCTAGTGGAGACAATATCGGGTCAGGTTCTGTGACTTTTTGAGTACAATCTTGTTCTGATATTTCCTAAGTCATCAATTAGAGAAGTCTTCTAGATATGGAAATCGTTTTGTTTTGGCAATTAAAATAGTAAATGTGAATTTCCAGAGAATATGTTACAATATTTTCTGCTAATTTTGTGCATTAGTAGTTAAGGAATTTTTAAGATATCACGTCAATAAAATGGATCACAATTAATCAATTGATTTTGTTTCGCAGATACGTGATCCCAGCCCAAATTGTTAAGATATTCTTAGCCAGTATTGATAAGGGAGATGAGACAGGATTTTGTTCATTGGGGATTTCTCTACAGTCCATGGAGAATGCGATGATGCGAAAGTATTTTAAGATGAAGAAGATCATGACTGGTGTTTTAGTGACTAAGACCAATCAGCATTCACAAGGTAACGAGTATGTGGAGAAGAACGACGTCATTCTCGAGATTGATGGTATGACCGTAGAAGATGATGGCAAAGGTATGATTTTATCTAATGTTTTGATTGATTTGAACTTGAATTTCAGATAGTATTTGATTCTATTTTTGTTTTGAAGTTTTTTATGAAAGCAGGTTGTGGATGCACTTAAATGGTTTCATTGCTTTGAAGAATCCTAATGAAAGAATCTCTCTCAAAGTGTTGAGAAACGGAGAAGTCATCCACATGAAGATGGAAGCTATGCCGGTGAGTTTATCTCCATAAATTATGGCATACAACTGATTTCAAAGTTCTTAATTTTTTTTGGGTTTTGTTTGGTTAGGTGGATACTTGGTATACAAGTGATTATAGTTCTCCAAGCTATTATATCTTGGCAGGACTCGTTTTCACAGAATCCACAGAATCCATGACGGGTGTAAAGATATGTGAGGTAGTTTTCCTCTGTTTATCAAGTATTTCCTCTTTCTTAATTTTCTCTTTCCTTGGGCAAGAGACTTATGGTAGTTATGTTTGTGTAGGTGTTGGAGGATAATATTAACAAGGGATATAGTTCATTCAGAGATTTGGAGGTACATTGCGTTAATGGACGGCCTGTGAACACTCTCGATCAATTGTGTGAGCTTATAGTAGCTTCTACCGAGGAATATGTGAGGATAGAGTTGGAAGGTGATTTAGTTGTTATGGTCAACCTAAAGAGTCACAAAAAGTCTCGTGGTCAGCTCTTGGAATCTCACAGGGTAATGTATGATATGTCTGATGACATTGAAGAAGCATATCCTTGCCTTGGAGAAGAATGATCGGATTAATCCTTCTCTTAATTACTTTATTGTTTTTGTTTCTTTGTAATGACTCATCTCCTTGACGACTCCTCTTAGTTTATTGTTTTTCGAATTGAGAAAGAGGAAATACTTGATTACAGTAAGTAGTCACCTTACTTTGTCTTGTGATTACAGTAAGTAGTAGATGTTTTTTAAGAGAACAAATCAATTACTCTAAACCCTCTTGTAGTAGATGTTTTTATTTCTGTCTCATCACGTATCTCCTTGACTTCTAGTCTCTTTTTACTCTGTTTATATTTCTTGTAATGTTGCGGTCACATGTGAAGTTCTTTCTTGAGACTCATAAGAATGATCATCGTGGACGTTTGTGTTGATCGTAGCAGAGGAATAGATATCTCCATGAAGCTTATAATTCACTTGTCAGAAACTTTTCTTGTCCCCAATAGACTTGTCTTTGCAAGGGAGTTTCTTCGTTTTTAGAAACATTTCTTGTCGCCATTGTCAACAAGAAGGTTGGCCTAAGCTCACCTTGCTGCTTCAGAGGGAGCTCGCGTATCCATTCTCGCTCGAGGAGGCCAAGAAATCAATCCAGCTCGCCACTTGAGAAATTAAAAGCCTTTCTTGCCCGACAAGTTTCACCTTTGATTTTCCTTTCCTCTATAGTTCATCTTCTCCGATATACAGTATAAAGTATAAACCAATTTGTGAAAAGTGACAAGGAAAACAGTTTTACCATAAAAGAAAATTACAGCCATAAATTGAAACGACCGGTTCAAATAGAAATCCTTAAAACCGAATTTTTTGGTTTAGCTGGTCTTAGTTTTTTGTTTTCTCCAATTACTAGTGGGTGATGACGGGAGCTTCACATCGCCGAGAGCTGCTTTATCGCGACGAGATCCATGGCGGCGATCGATTCTCTCTTCCTTCTCTTCCTCATTCCTCTCATCAGTCATCACACTCTCGCTTCTCGCTATCTTGGCCCTAATAGTACGCCCTCGCCCCACTAAGATCCCTATCAAGTCCCGTCACGTCTTCATCACCAGTGGATCTAGCGGCATTGGTCTTGCTCTCGCCCAACGCACTACTTCAGATGGCGTTTGCGTCTCAATCCTCGCCAAATCCTCCAGAAATCGCCAATGGAGTGCCACGTTCTATGCCGACGTTCGCTATTACTACGAAGTTAATCGATTCATGTGTTGATTGTTAATCGAGCTGGGTTTACGGTAAATTAGTTGGTGAAACATAGTCCAGAGGATGTCAAGTTTACGATTGACGTGAATCAGAATCTCGTGGGGAGCTTCAATGTGAATAAAGCCCATTTTCCATCCATGACAGCAAGGAAAGATCGTGGATCTGCTTCCATCACTCTCGTCTCCTCTCAAGCTGGTCAGGTTCGTCTCTCAAATTTCCCACTGATTTGATTCATAGCCGTCACCTAGGGATTATTTAAGTTCCTTCCTTCTGGAGATTATAGTTTAAACGCAAGCTGAGGATTAAGTAGAGGGTAAGACTTTCACAATTTTCAGTTTGTATTTCCATTTAAGTTGGATTTGCTACATCAAATCCTTGAAATAACTTTGTGTAAGTGCAATCGTGTGGACCTCATGTAATGCAGTTTCACAGATAGCATGATGAAGGATTTTTTTTTTTTTCAGATTTATCTTTGGTTATGCTACATAAGTACATATTCAGCAAGCATGTTTGGTCTTCAGGGTTTAGCGCAAGCATTGCAACATATGACATTCATGCCACTCTTATTTTTCATCCTGACATTGATACACCCAGCTTTAGAAGGTACAAACGATACAACCAGAAGCGTTAATGTTTCTACACTCATTATGCATGTATAGAGTATACCCACATGAAAGTAGCTAGGATTATGTACTGCCACTAAATTAGTTTCCTTATCCTAAGGCAATTAAATGCATCAAAGAGTTGGAGACATAAAGGCTGGGAACATAAACTATTATTGAGCTAGTTGGATCAAAGCTGTGCACTTATCTGGTCTGAGTAATTGTATGATCTATCAGACAAGTAATATTCCATTTTCTTCTTCTTTTACGAAATTGCCAGCTATGAGAAACTGATTGAGTGTGTGTTAAGTACTGACTATGATCGTGTTTAGAATGAAATCTGCGTAACTGTGGACTATGGTTCGTGTGATACTGTTTAGAAGAGATTTAGGGATTCAGAAGGGCATGTATTTTTCGTCCAATAGCATCTGAAAATTTTCAAAAAAAAGACTTCTTCTTCCTCTCCTCAAAACTATAATTTTTTTGTGTGGACCTATGAGGTATCTATGGTTTAAGTACACGATATATCCATGAAAGTATCTGAGAATGAAGTAAAAACATTATTGACTGCATTGGTTTTAGATAATGAAGTTAAGACATGATATGAGTGTATTTGATTTTCCTTGTTTTGCTCTCTCAGAACAGAAGAGCAGACCTGAGGTCACTGCCATAATAACTGCGTCCTCTGGTTCAATGAAAACAGAGGAGTCACCAGAAAGGCCATGGATGGCATCGAAGCAGGCAAGTTCACTGTCTCATTCAACTTGTAAGCAATGAAGCAGGCAACTTCACTGTCTCATTCAACTTTGAGGGATTCTTACTGTCTCTCGCAACAACCGGCATGTCCCCTCAGAGATCATTTTGGCTAGCTTTTCTCTGTTACCCTCTTTTCAATTTCTTGACTCTATTAATATTTCACAATTTGGTTGGGAATGTGATTAATTGTTGATTTGGATCATGGCAATTGGTTTACTGAGCTGAAGAATTCTGCTAGGTTCTTAACTTCTATCAAGCTTTCTAACTAGACTTGTGATTTAATTGTTTTATTTTACATCTCTCGGAAGAACACAATTCACAGAATAGAAAATAACATCTTTTGCTTTGCTGTCTCTCTTAAATCCCAATGTGGGTGGAAATGTAATAACCTAGGCTGCATTATTGTTCTGGATTATGTAATTTGGGTTGCAGAGGTAATGAAGTCCGCTACACTTTGTTCTGATTCACGTCTCTATTTTTCGTGGGTTTCAGTTTCCGCTTCACAATCTGACAGCAGAAGCGGTTTGGCTTGGACTTTTTGTGGATAATCATGGTGAATATTGGGATGTGCCACTCTCAATGGCTATTGATCTAGCATCTCTTCCTGCTGAGTCTGGTCCAAGTTACCATTTATGTTTACACCATAACAGCGGATCACCCAAGAAGTTAAATTCTGATACTATGGAAGTGCCTCCACCGTCACTGCTTCCTTGTTTGTCTCTGACATCCGCAATCTCTTATTGGACAAACATGGATCTCTGGAGGGGTACCACTCCGAAGCTCGAAACTTACAAGCCCTATGACGTCTTCCTCAGTAGTCCTCATGTCGCAGTATCTGGGATTATCGGTATGATAAGTTTCTTCGACTTATTTCAGAAGCATTTTTACTGTCAAGACTGGAAGTTTTGTGATTTCTCTAATAAGTTTTGTGCAACTCTGATCATTTGAATTCTGCAACTCTAATATTGGATGGAAATGGTGAATTTGTGGGATCTTTTGGTTTCTTTCGGCTATTGAATAGCTAATTTGTTTTCCTCTGATTGAAAGTTTTATGTTTGAATGAGCCTTCAGCTAGGAAGCACTGGTCTTTTTGATGATATGTTTGGTGTTACTAATAAATTCCATTAATCTCACAGGCTCTGTGATGACCGCAGCATTGGTGAAAATTCAATCAGATCAAAATTTGAGAATGATTCTGAGGGTGTTGGAGGGTTCTCTCTTCATTTTCCATTTGTAAATTCCGGATTCATGGCTGATACCTTAGGACTGGCATCACTCACAGCTCAATATAGAAACTTCCAGAAGCTCTTCTTTGATCTCACCCGCTTCCATGCTAGATTAGACTTTCCGTATGGTTTGAGGTTTCTTACCGGTGCCACTAGCGTCTCACAAGATCTTTTAAATTCTCGGCAGCCTAGTTTAGAAGCATTTCAGAAAATCTGCCCTGAAGTATTAGTTTCTCTACAGCAACAGGTAAAGAAACGATATTCTGCTCTGAGCAAATAGTCTACCAGAGAAACAGAAATTCTCAAATTCATAGTTTCAGCTATTTGATTTATAATCTACGGATTTTGCAGATTGTTGGACCGTCTAGTTTCAAAGTGGAGTCTGGAATTCAGATTGATCTGAAGAACGGGGTTGGAGCTAACCCCGTGACTGTAGATAAGACAGTATTTGCTATTGAATATGCTCTTCAAGTGCTTCTTTCTGCCAAGGCTGTTGCTTGGTACTCCCCAAAACAGAAAGAATTCATGGTTGAGCTTAGTTTCTTTGAGACATAGTATCAGGATTTTTTCCACTCAAAATATCAAGCTTGATCTTGTTAAGATTGTAGTCTTGCAGAAAAGTAAATAGACAATATTATAATTATTCAGTTTCAAATGTTAAACAGAAGAATGATTCAATAGAAGGGAAGTTTACATTTTGTTATAGTGTGATGTCTACCAAAACTAGTTACAGGACAATCCAATGGAAGCTTTAAATGATCTTCCTTATACTTAACAGACACAAGACAAAGACCATGAGGCGGCACAGGCAAAGTAGTATACTTTGCAAGCACCCTCCTGTCTTTTGTTTCCAGAATCATTGGGACGATGTCAGAATCCAGAGATTCTTTTCCAATATGAATCAACAAAGCTACCTGCATATTAGAAGGACTCAGCAGACTGAAAAACATTATTTCTCCATGTCAAGCATGTAAAAGACAGTGAAGAACTAACCATGTTTCTGACTTGTCTGTACAAAAAGCCTGAACCTTCAACTTCAAGCTGTAGAAGAGATCCCTAAACACCAAAACACAACAAGGTCAAAGTCTGATCCTTATCCTAAATTCTCCAGAACTAAGATGTTTTTTCTTTACCATTTGAATGACATAGAAGCGAGATATACTTTTCAAAGGATCAGGTACTCCATCTTCCCGTGTAGCGTTAGCAAATGCAGAGACATCATGCATTCCAACAAAAAGATCTACAGTTTCCCGCATTTTAGAAGCATTCAGTTTATAAGCACAGTGGTATGCCCAATAACGCTGGAACGGGTCCATGAAAGTGTCATTGTATATCTGGTAGCGGTAAACCTTGCTCTGGGCAGAGAACCGAGCATGGAACTCAGGAACCGCTGCACTCAGCTCTCTGACACGGATATCTTTAGGAAGAAGACCGTTTAAAGCAGCGTGAAAGCTATCCAAACTAGTATAATTGAAAGGAGTGACAAAATGAGCTCAAATATTTGTTAAGACATGGGAGTGTATGTAAGAGATTGACGAGACTGATGCAACACATGAACAGTAGTAGGAAGCTTCCAAATAATTATAATTCTTCCATCTTCATCAGTGTCATGGTTAGAAGTATAATTCCAGCCTGGGCAGACTTTAGACATTACTTGATTCAAATTTGGTTCTTTTATGTGAGTTTCCAAAATAGCGCCAACAATTGAGAGAGCCATTGAACAAAAAGCCGATGCTTATCCGGGTCATTTAGGCCACGGACATTCCAAAAAGTGATACTAGGATTCATGGGGGTTGTTTTGAGCCTCTTGGTTTAGAAATGCTACCATTCTCACTTTGGTCCCTAAAAAGCCAGGAGCAACTTTCATATCTGACTTCAGGCCTATCTCATGCTGCAATACCACTTACAAAGCTATCTCAAAAATGCAGTGAGGAGACTTAAGGTGATTCTTCAGGAAGTAATCCTTCCCAACCAAACAGCTTTTGTCAAAGGAAGACTGCTCTTAGAGAACACAGTGTTGGCCTTAGAAATAGTCCAAGGTTACCACAAATTGGGAGGTCCAAAAAGAATTAACTATTAAGGTTGACATCGCTAAGGCTTTTGATACTATAAGATGGGAATTCATTTTTCAATGTCTTAGAGGTCTTCATCTCCCAGAAATCTACTTGAGATGGCTAGAAACTTGCATATGTACACCATCATTCTCAGTTGGGTTTAATGGTTCAACGTATGGCTACTTTAAGGGGAAGAGGGGCCTAAGGCAAGGAGATCCCTTATCTCCTTATCTATTTGTTCTCTCCATGAATTGTCTATCACTAGCCCTTAACAAAGCTGCCCAGGAAGGTCGATTTAAGTATCATTCGAAATGCCAAAAAACTAGACTTACTCACCTTTGCTTTGCAGATGATCTTCTCATCTTCACAGATGGGTCTCTACAGTCTGTTGCAGCTATCTTGGAAGTGTTAAAGGATTTTGAGTCAAGGTCTGGCCTTGCTGTTAGCATTCAGAAAACATGTCACTTCTCTGCAGGATTAAAGGATCATGACTTAGATCAAATTAAGGTAGCAACAAACCTCACTACAGGAACACTTCCAGTTCGTTACCTTGGAGTTCCTCTGTGCACAAAAAAGCTGACCATCTTGCAATGTGCTCCTCTAATCCAGTCAATCAAATCGAGACTCCACTCTTGGACCACCAAATCTTCATCTTATGCTGGCAGGCTGCAATTGCTATCTTCTGTTATTGCAGGGATTACAAATTTTTGGTCCAGCTCCATCATTCTTCCCAAAGGTTGTATTGCTGAAATTAATTCTCTTTGCTCTAAGTTTCTGTGGAAAGGAAAAACAGACAGTCCTTCATCTGCTAAGGTAGCATGGGATAGTGTAACTCGAAGCAAAGAAGAAGGAGGATTGGGATTGAAGGACTTATCTTTTTGGAATACGGCATGTGCCTTAAAGCTGATATGGTTGCTCTTTTTCCATGAAGACTCGATATGGGCTACTTGGTATATCGCCGTTCCTTCAAATCTGCTGAAGAGGTCTACAAAGAGGTTGATCTCGTGGTTCGGAATAGAATAGCAAGTATTCGGCTGACAAATCCTCAACAAGCTTCATCAATGTTTCAACAATGGCCTCTCAAATTGATCGTCTCGTCTCTTCATCTCCTCTTCTCGAACCTTCCTCGAATAATCCGTCAATTACTAAGGCTCCTTAATTGGGCTAACTTTGGGTGTTAAATTCATTACTAATTTCTTCTAGGGCATGTCTCGTTTGTTCAAATTGGATCTTTATTTTGTGTGCTGGGCTATTTAGCTCACTGGGCCATATAAGGCTTTGTATCATTTTCATTCTCATGCATTTATATAGAAGACTAGATTTGAACCCGCGGTGTACCGCGGGGCTATATTTTTTTATAAAAAAAATTAGTTTATTTTTTTAGGTAAACTCTATGTTGGATTATAACATTTTTGTTGTATTTGATGAATGTTGTTTAATGTAGATTTTGCATATAGATATATTTTTATTGTTATTATATTTTTATATTTATAAATATAAAACTTTGCAAGTGACCGAAAATTAGAATCTGATTTTTGGTCACATGGAATGACCACGATCCCTGTTTGGAATGACATATTGTAGAGATGTGTAGTAGGTCTGAATTGACGACTCACATAGTTGAGTTGAAAATTTTCAATGAACATCCAATCACCAACAGAGATTTGATTAGCATACTTGCTCACCAAGTCATTCTTTACTGAGGCATGCATTTTCTTTCCCTGCAATGATAGGTCAATACATGTATTAGTAGATTAGAGGAGAACGATTTAACTCAATACTAAAAAATATTGATAATTAATAAGAAGTGTACCATTTCGTCTGACAAAACAATCTCAAGAGTTTCACAAGTGCTTTGCATGTATTGACGTCATGAATGCAAGATCTTCACTTGAACCCTCCAAGATGTCTTGTAAGATCGAACGTCTTTGAGAAAAGCAAAAGTCGCAGCCATTTGGTAGAGAAGTAAGGTATGCTAAATACTGTAAAATGTTTGGAAGCTGTGGTGTTTTGGTGATGGTAATTTGGGTTTCTTTGCTTAGTATTTATAGAAAATGATATAGTGGGTGTCGTTAGGTCGTAATTAGTAGATGAAAATATTCATAGCCGCAAGATTTTAGGAAGACAATATTTGATATTGTGATGTGATTGGAATATGCTATGATTTTATGCATTTATTTATGTTTTAATACGTATCTATAATTGGTTTTTAATGATTTTGTATAGAAGAAAGAAGTATTCGAAATTGGCAGGATAAGGTTTAAATGAAGAAAAGAATCTGATTTTTTAATTCAAGATACCCGAATTGATATAATTGTCTTGTTAATATGGAGAGATTTTAGGAAAATAAAATCATTGTTTTAAATTAATACAATCAAAAGTTTGGGAAGTTTTTCCCACGTGTAATCTTTTATTCTATAACTATACATAATGCGAATAATAAGCAATAATAATAGCATACATTTAATATTTTACTTGGAGAGCCGTAACTAATTTTTTGATTTTAATTGTCTTGTTGTAGATATGAGAAGTAGGATTTTCGGAAATGTTAAGTTGGTACTAATTAAATGAGATTTGAGATCTCTGATAGGATATTTTTAAAAATATTTCGAGTTAATGTGGAGAGATTTATCCATAATTGGTTAGTAACTAA